ATTCCAGTTATATCACGACGTGTCAGCTTAATGTGGGAGGAAAGCCCGAAGTGATGCAGGTCTCAGACGTTTACCACTACGGTTAAACCCACGAGCACGGGTATGACAAAGTGCTGACAAAGTAAGAAACATAATCGGGGCGAACCGGGATTCGAACCCACAACCATAGGTTTCTGGCGTGCCCAAGGGACGCAACTCTGCACAGCGAATCGCGGCGCCTTAGACGACTGGGCCACCCGTGCCCCCTCCAGTTAACGAAACTGATTTCAGAGTCTCAGACTACATCATCCAGAGTCCAAAGGGGAATTGAAGCTGGACTCCATGGAGATATCTGCAGAAGTGGCAGCGGCTAAAGGCCCTAATTAATTATGGGGTGTTCTTTTAACATATATTCATAAAAATGTAACAAAACTTGTGTCCGCGGGTGTTACCTATCCCATAAATTGTTGATCGACTTGCTAACGTCCTAATCCCAGATTTATGTGAATACAAATTAAATTGTTAAAATTCCTACACGCACGCACGCAGTAAGTACCTAATTACACGGTTACAGTGCTTAAAGGCCCACGTTACAATAGGTACGGACCCTGTAGTACAGTGGTTACATGCCTGAGTTTTAATCAATAAATCGACCCGTGAAGATCCGGGCTAGAATAGGTCTTCAGCAACCCATGCTTGCCGTAAAAGGCGACTATGCATATATGTCAAAAGAGGCGACTAACGAGATCGGGTGGTCAGGCTCGATCACTTGGTTGATGCATGTCATCGTATCCCAATTGCGTGGATCGATGCTCATGATGTCAATCACTGGATTGTCTGATACAGACCACCATCATATAGATGGAATATTGCTGAGAGTGGCGTTAAACATCAAACAAACAAACAAAACTGAGGAATTTGGGATAGAAACATACAAACAAACAATAAATATATCAACCAATATATAAATACACAGAGAAAGGGTCAAGACTGCGAGGGACGACTACTGGGAGCAAGAACTTCCACTCGAACCCTCAATATATAATGTCATTCCTCGTGGGCTTAGTGCAGGCCATTCGTGACCAACTCGTGTTATTCCGGGACAAGCCGAATAGCGATCTTCTTGCAGGTGACGGAAAGGGGCGAGTGGTGACGAATGAGTGCAGGCGAGAGTCCTAGTATAGGCGTCACAGATCAAGGTCATAACGCGGGGTCAAAGGTTACTTCATGCATTATCTGCCACCCATCTTGGGGGGTCAGATAACGACCCACCCCTGCGAGTCATTGCGAGTCACTACGAGTACTATCAGAGCTGATTGTAATCAGGCCCCGCCATTACAACATGCTCGCAACAGATTGTCTGTGAATCTCATCACGCTGTATGGGTCAATATAGACGTGTAGATGAGCCCTTATCTCGCAACGGTGTCATGGGGGCATCTCTGCTTGACAATTGTTGTATTGGATGTCGTGGTTTCGTCTGTGAGAAGGTGTCGTTGAAGCAACACAACGATATGACATTTAGTGCAATTGTCTCAATCAGATAGGACGTGGAATCTGACGCCACTGAGCAATTGTTGTGTCATATATTGCCACCAATATGCTGTGATATATGTGTGCTCGTCTCTTTTCATCGAGATACATGTCCTTCATCAATAGGTATCTCTAAAGAGGTTGATGTTTGGGGAAATAAACTACATTAAACTACGTTTGTAACGAACACACTTACAACAAACTGATGGAAATAACGAACTTTGTCTCTCGTCCATTTGCTATATAAATATAATTTTATGCTTATAACGAACTACGGTTTTAACGAACTAAAATTGGTGGTCCCTTTGAGTTCGTTATCACCGTAGTTTACTGTACGTCTGGAGGTGGTTTGATTTGTTTATATTCTGGTAGTTTGTTTGTTGTTTAACGCCGCACACAGCAATATTCAAGCTATATGATGACTGTCTGTAAATAATCGAGTCTAGACCAGACAATCCAGTGATTGATATCATGGGCATCGCTCCACGCAATTGATACGATGACCTGCATCAACCAAGTCAGCGAGCATGACCACCCGATCCCGTTAGTCGCCTTTTACGAAAAGCATGGGTTGCTGAAGACCTGTTCTACCCCGGATCTTCACGGGTCTACATTCTGGTAGTATTCTCCTGACTTGGTATTATTACAACGTTCCTGCAATATTGTAACGGTAGTTGAAATAGGACACTTTATATAATTTTGAGGCGTCATCTGAAGGAAGGTCGGTGGTTCAATCCCTGGCCCATCATACTAAAAGACATTAACAGATTTGTTGTTGCCCTGCCTGGCGTTCGGCATTAACGGGATAAAACAAGAACTGGTAAATATACTGTGTCTGACTGGGGTATCCATGTTAGACTGCGTCGGCTAGCACGTGCACTGTAGCCCGAGATGTCTCTTTTTACGTGAAATAATCTTGATAGCGCCGTTAAGTCTAATTTAACCTCACATTTCTGAGGCAAAGCAAAACTCTGAACCTAGCATTTTACATTAGTCATGATAATGATACAGTAGATCACCCCAGTTATACACTGTAAATAAATATAATCTCATAGTGACTGTCTTCAGCAACCCATGCTTGCCGTAAAAGGCGACTATGCTTGTCGGAAAAGTTGACAAGCGGGATCGGGTGGTCAGGCTCGCTGATTTGGTTGATACATGTCATCGATCCCAATTGCGTGGATCGATGCTCATGATGTCAATCACTGGATTGTCTGCTCCAGACTCGATTATTTACAGTTTGTTTAACGCCGCACTCTGCAATAGTCCAGCTATATGACGGCGGTCTGTAAATAATCGAGTCTGAACCAGACAATCCAGTGATTGATATTGTGAGAATCGATCCACGCAATTGGGATACGATGATATGCATCAACCAAGTCAGCGAGCCTAACCACCCAATCCCGTTAGTCGCCACTTACGACAAGCATAGTCGCCTTTTACGGCAAGCATGGGTTGCTGAAGACCTATTCTATCCCGGAATCTTCACGGGTGTGTCCAATAGATGTTGTAACGGTCTAGATTGTTTGTTTTTTTATAGCTCTACGTGGTTTCATCAGGGTCGCCTTTGGTTTTGTAAAAGAGACCTAGTTCACTCATTTGATTATCAAACTATAGGCACACTCTTATTATACTAAATGAAAATCCCGTCCTTTGAACGTTTCATGACAATATGCCTTCATACGTAGGTACCCGTGAAGATTCGGGTTGGAATTGGATCTTCAGGAATCCATGCTCGTCGTCGTTGATGCATGTCAGCATATCCTAACTGCGTAGATCGAAGCACATGTCAATAACATGATCATCTGATCCAGACTCGATTATTTACAGACCGCTGTCATATAGCTGGAATTGTGCGGCGTTAACAACAAAAAAAAAAATTTTTTTGGAAAGGCGAGCTTTCACGTTGCGCCAAATCAGGTATGATGACTTAAATACCGTTGTTGGGAATTTGGGTCCGAATAGGTCCAAGTACCTCATGACTATCGTAGGGTCAGAAATGGGGATCAGATGGTCAGGCCCTGTCACCTGGCTGCCATTATGACGGCGTTCAAATATACGTCTGTGCGAGTTATTTAAAACAATATTTTTAGCGACATTTTAATTAAAAAAATGGATTGTGTGCGCGAGTTCGATTTAACGCAGTTTTAGAACTGCAGTATTTCACTCATATCACTGAGAGTCGGCATGATGTGGGATGAAAGCCCGAAGTGATGCAGGACTCAGATGTTCACCACTTCGGTGAAACCAGCCAGCAAGGGTGTTGATACGCAGTGGAAGTCTCAAAAATAACTCAACACAACGTAAAGTTAACGTCTGTTTATTAATTGAAATTCAAATTTACACCATATCTAAATTAACCCACGATTTCAGAAACAATTTCCCAAATCACTACTTACCACAATTTGTCCTTATTTGACTATTTAAAACCCTTATTTGGTTTTATGAAAGTCCTCATTTGACTATATAAATTAATACAATTGTGCCCCCGCCACACACATTTGCGCATGCCGCTCGTACGCCACGTGCTGTTGTCCAGAGCACCGCACCTCAACATATGGTGCGTTCGCGCGAATGTTTTTGAATGATTTGTCATCCTTCTGTTCAGGTATGGTCCTGAGAAACCTAGATACATATTTCAAGCATATTGTTTCGAGCATGCCCAAGGGAAGCAACTCTTCACAGCAGAACTTCCGCGCCTCAACGTCCCAGATGGTAAACATAACATGATAACTAGATTATAATTTCTATAGAATCGAGACCGCCTCCGTGGTCTAGTGGTAGAGCGTCCGCCCGGAGAGCGGAAGGTTCGGGGTTCGATCCCCGACCGCGTCATACCAAAAGACGTACTTGTTGTTACCCTGTCTGGCGCTCGGCATTAAGGGGCTAAAACAAGGACTGGTCTGCTCGGAGTCAGTATACTGTTTCTGAGTGGGGTATTCATGGTATCTCAGTGAGCTAGCACTATAAATCGGCATCAGTCCGGACTAGTACAAGCAGCCACACAAACACACACACGTACATGCACGTCGCTATATAAGTGCAACAATCTTGGACGCGACGTTAAACCCCATTTCACCTCACCTTCTATAGAAACATTAGAAATATATTGCAATCAGTGAAGGTGCAAAAAGAGTGTCGGTTTTCTTTTGGTAGATATAGGGAAAAGAGTAAACTACCTACATGTGAAAAACACCCAAGACATATCAGGCACTATTCATTTAAAAGAATTGCCATATACAGGGGGACCGCCTCCGTGGTCTTGTGGTAGAGCGTCCGCCCGGAGAGCGGAAGGTCCAGGGTTCGATCCCGGGCCGCGTCATACAAAAAGACGTTAAAGATTGTACTTGTTGTTACCCTGTCTGGCGCTCAGCATTAAGGGGCTAAAACAAGGACTGGTCTGCTCGGAGTCAGTATACTGTGTCTGAGTGGGGTATTCATGTTAAACTGCGGCATGGTATCTCAGTGAGCTAGCACTATAAATCGGCATCAGTCCTGACTAGTACAAGCAGCCACACACACACACATACACGTGCATGCACGTCGCTATATAAGTGCAATAATCTTGGACGCGACGTTAAACCCAATTGCACCTCACCTCACCTCACCATATACATGGGTTGTCATATAAACATAAAACCTTTCCGGTTGAATTCTTATGTTGTAGGGACGGTCGGGTAGCTTAGTGGTTAAAGCGTTCGCTCGTCACGCCGAAGACCCGGGTTCGATTCCGACATGGGTACAATGTGTGAAGCCCATTTCTGGTGTCCCTCGCCGTGATATTGCTTGAATACTGCTAAAGGCGGCGTAAAATCAAACTCATTCACTCTTATGTTATGGCTTGTATTTGAACAGATTTTACACTTCTTAAATTATGCCCAAATTAGGCCAAACGTATTTACATTCTCGAAAAGGTGACATTTTGGGAGGTGTTTGTGTTGGGCGTCAAACATCCGTCACAGCACATTCCATCATGACTACCTCGTCATTGGGCGCCTTGTCAGCACACTTTCATCATAAATACTTCGTGGCAGGAGGTCCTCTGTTTTCCAGCTAATTTAGACTTGTAATGACACCATTTGTTTCTATGGGTAAAGAAAATCCGGTATCCGAGATCATATAAGTCCCGGAATATTTCAAGAGCCGTGAAATATTTCGCTTGTGCAGCATCTACCTTTTTAAGCGTGATATGCACCTCAAATACAAATTGAGTCACATTGTGCAAAGCGTTGCTTTTTATCATTTCCGGAAACACTCGCCACTCCATGTCTTCAATATCAATTTTCAAAACATCGATTGTGGTCTACAAGAAACAGAAGTATCATTTGTTTGAACCGTAACATTTATGAAACACAATAATGAAACAGAAAACGTATACAAGTATTTATTCGCAGTTACTTTTTCAAAAATATGAGATTTCGCCCAAACTGAGTGAGTGAGTGAGTTGGGTTTAACGCCGCTTTTAACAGTATTCCAGTTATATCGCGGCGTGACAGCTTAATGTGGGAGGAAAGCCCGAAGTGATGCAGGTCTCAGACGTTTTAAATAAATTACCACTTCGGTGAAACCCGCGAACGCGGGTATGGTGCTGACAAACCTAGAAACATTATCGGGGCGAACCGGGATTCGAACCCACAATCATAGGTTTCTGGTGTGCCTAAGGGACGCAACTCTGCGTAGCGAATCGCGGCGCCTTGGACGACTGGGCCACCCGTGCTCCCACGCCCCCACTGCATTCGAGTAGGTGTGTGAATGTTGTTTTATCCTTTTGACTTTGTTCATTTCTCATACAATGGAATGACTTTGTGTCAAAAGGACAAATATTCTAAATCAAAGCGACAAAACCCTTTCCATATTCAACAGAAAGCAGAGTCGATTGTACGATTCAGGATTACATCATGAGGATGTGTTAATGAATCGATATCATAAATATATAGTGATGATACCAGGTGTTCGCGAAAAGGTGACTACCAAAGAATAGACAGGATATGATCGAAATAAAAAGTGGGAAATGAACATGTACAATTTCTTAAGTGGGAATTGGGCCAATATATGTGCCAGCATTGATCTGTTTCAATGACGTGTTTGGTAATGGTGACTAGACTTGTTGTACGCTTATCGTACAATGGAGTCATTCCACATGGTACCCAGGGAAGAGCACGTGATATTTGTGTTTACCTGTTCGTGATTGAGGGACTGGCGTATATCGGCGAGAGTCTTCATCGGCCACTGCTTGGAAGATTTACCGTTATATTCAGCCAGACCTAAGGAGTGGAACATCACGTGATCCCCGTGCCTATGGTCTGGCCGACCCATGCTATAAACAGAATCATATAACTGTACAATGAAGTCGTGTGAAATCCCATTACCTGAAGCCACATCCTGGTTTATATGCAAGTATCTGAAGACCACCCTGAATAGTATATCCATAAATACACATCCTCTGCTGATATCCACAAATATAAAACCTACATGTACCATTATGCACCGAAGTATTTTTTTCACCCTTGTACTCAGAAATATAATTCAGGCTTTACATCTAGAAATATACGCCCTACTCTTATCTTTAGAAATACACGCCCTTCTCTTATCATCAGAAATATACACCCTACTCTTATCTTTAGAAATACACGCCCTACTCTTATATTCAGAAATATACACCCTACTCTTATCTTTAGAAATCCAAACCCTACTCTTATGTTAAGAAATATACACCCTACTCTTATATTTAGAAATATACGCCCTATTCTTATATTCAGAAATATACACCCTTCTCTTACATTCAGAAATATTCACCCTAACATCCATAAAAATAATCGAACCTTTATATATAGGTACATACACCCACTCTTATATCCACATTAATACATTAACAAATATCAAGAAATACACAGTCTACCCTAATGTCCAGATATATAATATTACCCTTATATTCAGAGAAATATTCTGGCTCTTATATAAACAAATAATGTACCTAATCCTGAAATCCTAATCCTAATCCTGAAATCAGGAAATATGCATCCGACCCTCGTACCAAGACATATACATCGCATACTTAGAAAACAACCTCACCCTTAGTTTTAGAAATATACATCTTTAACTCCTGTAACCAGAAACTTAAACATTTCACTCCGTTTTTCTGAAAATATGCAAACACCATTACATAAAGAAATATATCATTCTATTTAGAAATGACGAAAGCCTATTAGGGTCAAAAGTGAAATATGGAAAAGACACGAAAAGAAATTCGTTACAACGGAAAAAAATTCGTTATTGCGTATAACTGAAAAAAGATTCGTTATTACGAAAATAAATTCGTTATAACGGAAAAAGATTTCTTATTACGGAAACAATTTCGTAATAACGAATGTTTTCCCTATTCGGAAATAACGAAATTATTTTCGTAATAAATTTTTTTTTTCGTAATAACGAATCTTTTTTCCGTTATAAGGCAGTTATTTCCGTAAAAACGAATTTTTTTTTTCTATTAATTTCTATTAATCTTTTTTCCATATTTCAATTTTGACCCCAATAGGCTTTCGTAAGAAATGTCCAAATTTAATTTTGTATCCACCCTTTTATCAAGAAATATGCATGCATCCTAACATCCAGAAAGAGACATCCCACCCATATATCCATAATAATACAGCCACCCTTATGTCAACAGGTAATTTACAGAAACTTCACAAATGAACTTTATCATCAATGTTTTTATACTTGCCTGGGATCGAAGGAATGAATCTCACATTTGTATTCTCTTGCCATTTCGTCATCAAAACTGAAGTCATTGTTGATGCTGGACAATCAAATGGTACAAAGTCATTGAAAAAGTCGAACAACAACTTCTCCATTCTTCTTCATACGTAACAGTCAATTAAGAGCAAATTCAGGAAATGTATCTTACTAACTCAAATCACAAATTATCTGACTAACTCATCCACAAGCTACCTGACCAATTCTGACACTTTAGATACTGCCAGACTCTGACACTACAAATACCTGAGCCCATCTGGCATATTTACCAACCTGACGAAATATACAAACTACATATACCTACATAAAACAAGAATGAACAATAGGTACATATTTAAATTGGACACTATACAGACACCTACAAAATTTGGACAAAGGACAAAATACATGTATTTCTATTAATCGGACAATATATATATATATATATATATATATATATATACCGTATTCGACGTAATAAGCGCCCAGGACACTCTCAAAATTAGAAATAGGGGGCTCTTATCAGAATATTATTTTGGTGGAAAAGATGTTGAAAGATAAATTTCGTGGTTTATGCTGACGGCCTGACTGTTTATATACGACTGATATATTTTTCCAGAATTTAATTGCCCATAATTAAGAGTTCATATAACACACGATTGCGTATTATACACGTATAAATAGGTCTTGTGTACATTGATCAATCGGAAGGGGTGCTAATTGGGATTGTTCACTTGCCAATATATTAGCAAATATCACCGTGGGCGCTTATTAGAGCGGGGCGCTTATTACGTCGAATACGGTATATGCAATAAACCAGATGCATTACTACCCATGACAATGTTTGGACAAACACGATATACAATTGTAAAAACTGGAGACAGTTATCTAGTATCAGAACATGAGCAACTCCGTGACAAAAGGTGATTCTTTTAGAGATGTGGCTAAAGATAATTCAAACGTATTGTGTCAAAATAAGGTGAGGGCCAGGTATCTAGTCGTGTTCTCACCCGAAGGAATAGACAAGGCATGGTTTCTTTGGTCTGACGAGAGGGTCGTCACAAACCTCCCAGCCGCCGTCTTGCTGAAGTCCCATCCTCTTCATGTCCCCACACGCCACCTGGATGTTTTCCACGTAACTGCAAGGTCAAGGTCATATGTAGTACAGGATATCGCGACCAGTATGTTAGTAACGTAGCTAGGTCAAGATCATATTTAATGCAACAGCTGCACCAAATCACCGGGATGCTTTCCATGTAACTGCGAGGTCAAGGTCATATGTGGTACAGGGTGTCGCGATCAGGATGTTCATGACGTAGCAAGGTCAAGAACATACATAATACAATAATTCTACCACATTTTCTCCGTGCGAAACCGAATGTCCCCAAATGTTCTCCACGAAACTGCAAGGTCATGTGTATTGCAGGATGTCCGAACATGCCACCAAGATGTTGACGACGTAGCTTCATCAAGGTCAAAGTCATATATAATTCATTACGTTTTATCACACCATCTTGATGTTCTCCACCCAATAAGGTCAATGTCATATATTATACAGTACGTTCCACCACGCAATCTTGCAGTTCTTCACGTAACTACAACAAAGTCGTTATATCATACATGGTGTCAATCATCACGTAAAATCCAGGTCAAGGTCATATATTTTCTAATACGTTCCATCCCGCCACAAGGGCGTTTTCCACGTTAGAACAGGGTCAAGGTCATATACGACACTGATCATGTCCACAGTTCCTAGGCATGATGTTCATGATATCAATCACTGGATTATCTTGACCAGACTCGATTATTTGCAGACTGACGTCATATAGCTTGAATATTACTGAGTGCGGCTTTATAAACAACATCATTGTGAAACGAAACACTGTGACTCACTGAGAGATGGTACATTTCCCTACCGGTATTAACTATGGTCATGGCACGTCTACAAATCTGAATGGCTCAAAGTAGTTATATCTCTGCACCATTTATGGCTAAGGAACAAACAGGACATTTGATAAGGACTGATAAGGACATTTGTTCCCACGGAAAATTAAAGCAGAAGGAATAAATATGTCTAGTTGTTATGAAAGGCTTTTATCGTTGTCTATCACAAAATAAAATAACGACGTGTACAACTAAAATGATTGAAAAAGACTCGATAACGCCAAAAAGATTAAAAAAAGCATCATCGTGTGTTTGTCTTTAACAACCTGTAATAAGTGATAAAGAGTAAAATACGTTCTTTTGTTGAAATATTACGAAAATAAGTTTAAAAACTGCGTTTTAGACACATTTAAGATTTACTTCTGCATAGGTGTAGTTATGCGTCCAAAATTCTGAATTTGTTCCAAAATGTTTTTATTTTCAAAATTCAAATGTTTTCTCATTTAGTAAATTTGGCAGTTACCTTAACCTACAAATGCTCTTATCACATGTGTCTTTCATGACATTTAGCTATATAACATTTGAGATTCAGTAACGTGGTTTTAAGGGGATCGTCTGCGTTTTTACAACGTTGTTGACATGTTGTATTTCCACTTAGGGTTATCGTGTAGCGTAGTTACGATCACCTCTTAAATATTTACACAATCGGGCCAGGGTTCAATCATCATCACCATTGCTGCATAGTGTGAGATATCGCAATGACTGCCATTTATAACGTTGAAACATTTATGACCATGGCTTAGTTTGTACACATAAGATAACGTTGAGCTCGCGTATTTGGTTATTGTGTTTGCGGCAAAGGTAAACATGGACTGATACATGAAGACAGTTCCTGCCCCTGACAAAGTATACAAGTCATATCACAGAGATCAGATTTAATGCTGGAGCAAAGTCCAACGTACCGCGTTTTCTACTTCGAGGAACCAACGAGAAGTCTCGTGTAGAGAAACTAAGGGTTATAATCGGATTGAATCTGGGATTCGAACATAAATCAGCGGATCCTGATAACTGCGAGACACACTCCAGGACAACGTCTTGTGAACGAAGATAATCCTGCTAACGTTAGAACTGTTACATGGGAATATGCACACCATCCTAGCAAAAGTAACATAAAAAGAATATGTATCTACAGATAGGTGATAAAGGGTATTTGTTAAGGGAATAATAATCCCCTAATCGAGAATACTTCCCCTTCTATTGGCTTTGTTTGCTTGTTTCCAGCAACATGCCGCTAAGTAATAATACGGCGGCCTGTAAATAATCGAGACTGGACCAGACAATCCAGTGATGGATATCGTGAATAGCGATCCACGCCTTCTACGTGTCACCTAGTTTAACCACCCGATCCATTTTGTCGCCTCTCACGTCCAGCAAGGGTTGCTGGGGTCCTTCTATTGGCATTGTAGTACACTAATTATATTTGTATTGTATAAGAGAAATAGAAAAATTGACTGTGAGCACGAAGTGATGATGTGACAAAAACACATAAAAAACATGTCAGGCATTACACATGAGACATACAGAAACATTCGATTTTTTATAGTTTTAACTTGTTCTCTTATACGTATCCTTTTCGAAGTGAATATCGTTTTTTGTGCAATATTCCAAATAATATCATAATCAACATTTGGGTTACCAAATATACTTTTAGTTGAACCTACATTTTCTTCATCAACACTATAGCCAATATCATATTTTGTGACAAATATGTTTCAGAATACAACTGTTATTTACAGCATTATTACCATACAGGAACAGCTAATACTAACAGCAGGTACATACAAATCACCAGCCAGGTAAGCATTGGTTTTACAATATCTATATGTATATGCAAACAGTTATAAATCAATTATGAAAACACTGATGATCAGTTGTCATAAAATCCACAGCCATTTGTCTAACCTCCTTACCTATGATAAAGATAAGCTATTTGTCTGACGTCTTACCTGTGATAAAGATTGGCCATTTGTCTAACCTCCTTACCTGTGATAAAGATAAGCTATTTGTCTGACAACTTACCTGTGACATAGATTAGTCATTGTCTGACGTCTTACCTCTGATAAAGATAAGCTATTTGTCTGAAGTCTTACCTGTGATAAAGATTGGCCATTTGTCTAACCTCCTTACCTGTGATAAAGATAAGCTATTTGTCTGACAACTTACCTGTGATAAAGATTGGCCATTTGTCTAACCTCCTTACCTGTGATAAAGATTGGCCATTTGTCTGACAACTTACCTGTGACATAGATTAGTCATTGTCTGACGTCTTACCTGTGATAAAGATTGGCCATTTGTCTGACGTCTTACCTGTGATAAAGATAAGCTATTTGTCTGACAACTTACCTGTGACATAGATTAGTCATCGTCTGACGTCTTACCTCTGATAAAGCTTGGTCATTTGTCTGACACCTTACCTTTGATATAGACTAGCCATTTGCTTGACCTTCGCGCCTGTGATTAAGATTACCCATTTGTCTGACGTCTTACCGGTAAGATAGATTACCCAGTAGCCTGACTGCTTACCTATGATATAAATTAGTCATTTGTCTGACGTCTTACCTATGATTAGCCATTTGTCTGACCTCCTTACCTGTGATAAAGACTACTCATTTGTCTGACGTCTTACCTGTAATATAGATTAGCCATTTTTCTGACGCCTTACCTGTGATAAAAAATAGCCATTTGTCTGACGCCTTACCTGTGATAAAGATTGGCCATTTGTCTGACGTCTTACCTGTGATAAAGATTGGCCATTTGTCTGACGTCTTACCTGTGATAAAGATTGGCCATTTGTCTGACGTCTAGCTTGCGGATCTCTGGTTTAGTAGGGAGCACGTGACCACGTTGACAGTCTCCATTGCCTGTATCCGCCTTGGGTATGTAGACGATATTCTGGGGTAATAAATTACACCATTAATATATGGAGTTTGTTTTAGCTTTTCCTGTCATATGCTCGGCTCATCTGGTCGGGTGAGAAACATAATCGTTTAATGAAATGCCCAGACACGAATGTCAACTTTGTCTATCCAAAATCACAAGAAAAGGCAAACCTTCACGATCGTACCCTGAAAACCATGTGATCCTGGGATCTGGGACCTTGTATCAGCTTTTATCGGGAAGAATTTAATTCTTTTCGATAAAACAACTTATATAATCTGAGAACAAACGAACACTTCTGATTACTGCAGATTTTAGGGATTAAGGGCGTTAAATTAGATACGACATTCAACTACAGTAAGACCTATCGATATATACAATCATACCAGCAGTGTTAGAAATAGTACTAACAGTCAAGGCGAGACGAAGGCCGTTGAGTTTAAATTGGTGCATATATTACAAACACAATTAATGTGGGTTCTGTCACCAGTGTCACAAAAAACATCCAGGGTCCCAAACACGGGTTGAACATGTGTCAGTCTAACAAAACGCAAACCCCACAACACCATAATGCGCAACCAATTAATTTATCAATATGTACGCAAACATACCAGAACATGAAGTTAAACATTGACATTTAAAGTAGGAAGGGGAGTTATATAAGCCGGGGAGTGTTGGGCCGACGAAGGTGAAGTGCTCTGAGCCTTTGGGTAGTGATCGGAGGCTTGGCACAAAACACTCTAGAGTGATATCAACCTAGGCCCAAGTCACTCTAGAGTGATTTGAGCCGGGGATTGCGTTTAGCGTCCTACACCGGGAGAGTGTCACAGGTTTTCATCAATAATTTTACTTCACAAACATCATCATACATGTCTTGTCTTTTCATCTCTGTAAATGTGACCGATTTGATGATATATATTTCCCCTTTTAGCGGAATCGATGCCACCCACTATTGACTACTTCAGTAATTAGAGTATGACACCGCATTTCGAGATCGATCAGAGTTCCTGCAATGATGCTGTGAAGATGATGATTTACATGCATGGATACATCGCTTCATGCCTGCATACATTATCATCATTCCAATGCACTCTGTTAGACGCGGGGACAGGAGTGATCCGGTCGACTAAGGCATCGCAATTCGCTCTGCAAAGTTGCGTCACCCACTGCACACTATTATCAAGTTTCTAGGTTTGTCAGCACCATACCGTGCTCGTGGTTTTCACCAAAATGGTAATCGTCTGAGACCTGCACCACAGGCTTTCCTCCCACATCAAGCTGACGCGCCGTGATATAACTCGAATACTGTTCAAAGTGGCGTTAAACCCAACTCACACACATTGTAAGACGTGAAATACTGAATTTAGCAGGAAACAATAATCCAAATAAATATTCCTCTGCTTGGTTTAGACCATGTCTACTTGTACAATAACATGGCAGAAGCAACATAATCTTAACAAAGGAATTCAATTCGTTGTTCATTTATAAACTTCATATACCCCACCATAATCACTATCCATCTCCCGTCGTTGTGTACCACTTGCGTAGTGAGCAATTGACTTCGCACTGGGGCTAAACTTTAGGTTACAGTGAACATAAATCTACCGTTATTACCAATATGTTCAATGTATTTCATACGCCTAGAACTGGATCTTGAACTAAAGCGATATGTACGACAGATATAAAAGCAAATGATGCATATTTAGTACAAAGTTCTTGTTAGGATTCGCAAAATAGCCTTGGTGATTGCTTTGCAATGTCATTTCCAAACAAACTCAATGTTACCTCCAATCTTATTAACGTAAATCGACAAAGCTATTTCCATAGTCATGAGTAATAAACAGAGTCGGTTGTATTATTCCGATAAAATCAAGAACATGTGTTCACTGTCAAATAGTGATGGTACCAGGTGTTCGCGAAAAGGTCACCGTATCCTTCCCCACATCAAGCACCCGTAATACTCGAAAATATAAAAAAAATAAAATCCTAATGATTCTGGGATACCCATATATTATTTATTGACGAAATCTGTTGACATCAGATTGTAAAAGTGTTACTTTTATATCAGTTGCGCCTTCACTGAGTAAGCCACCAGGTGTATACAAGCTGTCGTTATCATTTAAGTAGGCATTCAGTCCGACATGATTGGAGTTTATTGGGGATTGTTGCCCATGCAAAATACATGTACTGTATTCCCATTGCTGCTATATAATCGCAAGGACATTGGACCGTGAATTGACCATCAATGTAAAATATTCTAAAACGTCACAAACCTGGCTTGCTCAGGCAATGAACGGATATTGATTTCCAAACATTGTTCTTTAATTATTTATAACTCAACGCTTTTGTCACAACGTGCGATGTATTAATTCTTTCTGTGGCTGGCGTTGTAGACATTTAACCCTTTCTCAGCAGTACCATTCCAATTTCAGTCATCCAGATCAACGAATCGTGGGCAAGGAATAAGGTCTCTTTATGTGTATATGTAGACGAACCATGGTTTGTGTAGACGAACCATGGTTACAGAGTAATACCCCTTTCTGTGTATATGTAGAAGAATTAACGTTACATAGCAATAATACTGTCTTTGTAGTGAGTGAGTGAGTTAAAGCTTAACGTCACATCGGCAATATCTCAGCCATATCGTGACGATCTTTGTAGAGACGATACATCTGTATGAAGGAAGTAGAGATATTTAATGCCATTCTTGTGAAATATTCATGTGAAAATAATGACTGCAGATCTATTTTAGAATACTGCAATATACATGCATGCTTTTCTTCATAACATGACACCTCTTTAGTCTTGACCTCACCAATACGGACACCTTGCCATACAGAGGATGATATAACGTAACGTCTACACATTGAGGGTAATTGCTCCAATGATTTGTTAATTCGGACGTTCGTTAATCTGGACGATTTCACATTGGGCAGCACTGTCGGGATAAGCGAGTTTCCGCAGTACATCAATACTGTGTCGATTTGATAACGTGCATACAGCTACGTGTCAAGTGCTTCTCTCCTCTGACATAAACGTAAACAATATCGATTTGTAAGAATGCATTTTTGCGTGCTAAAGCTGTGTTGGGTAGGTTGTTTGATCAGTGTGTGTTAATGGATCGGTGGGTATTGTAATACCGCGTTCCGGTCAGACACGTCCAACTGTGTTGGGCAGCTTGTTTGATCAGTGGGTAGTTGCCAACGCGTTCCGGTCACAAACCTGTCCCGCTGTAAATAATGTATGTGTTCAATGACGTGGCAGCAGGCATGATAACACGATATTTTCTAAGCACATTACTAAAATACTACCGTAGTCCGTGCCAAGGAACAAGTAATAATCTTAAAGATATATAATTCACAATACTGCACATAAAGTGATACAATAGTTTTAACGCATCAACGTAACATCATTAGAGTTTTTAAAACCGTCAACTTAACATCATTATGGTCTTTAACACATCAATGTAACATCACCAGCGTCTTTAACATTATCAACTTGACATAATCAGCTCCTAACTTCGTCGACTTAATATGATTAGAGTCTTTAAGACAACATCTTAACTTCATTAGTGTTTAATATCGTCAACTTAACCTCATGAGCGTTTTTAATACCATCAACTTAACCTCATGAGCGTGTTTAATACCATCAACTTAACCTTATTAGTGCATTTAATACCATCAACTAAACCTCATTAGAGTGTTTAATACCATCAACTTAACCTTATTAGTGCGTTTAATACCATAAACTTAATCTCATTAGTGCGTTGAAAACCATCAACTAAACCTCATTGGGGTGTTTAATACCATCAACTTAACCCAATGAGCGTTTTTAATACCATAAACTAAACATCATTAGTGTGTTTTAAACCATCAACTTAACCTCATTAGTGTGTTTGATACTATCATCTTAACCTCATTAGTACGTTTAATACCATCAACTTAACCTTATTAGTGTGTTTTAAACTATCAACTTAACCTCATAAGTGTGTTTAATACCATCAACTTAACCTCATTAGAGTGTTTAATACCATCAAATAAACATCATTAGTGTGTTTTAAACCATCAACTTAACCTCATTAGTGTGTTTGATACCATCATCTTAACCTCATTACCTCATTAGTACGTTTAATACCATCAACTTAACCTCATTAGTACATTTTATACCATTTACTTAACCTCATTAGTGTGTTTAATACCATCAACTAAACCTCATTAGTGCGTTTAATACCATCAACTTTACTTCATTAGTACGTTTAATACCATCAACTTAACCTCATTAGTACATTTTATACCATTTACTTAACCTCATTAGTGTGTTTAATACCATCAACTTAACCTCATTAGAGTGTTTAATACCATTAACTTAACCTCATTAGTACGTTTAATACCATTAACTTAACCTCATTAGTACGTTTAATACCATTAACTAAACCTCATTAGTGCGTTTAATACCATCAACTTAACCTCATTAGTACGTTTATTACCACCATCTTAACCTCATTAGTACGTTTAATACCATCAACTTAACCTCATTAGTACGTTTAATACCATTAACTTAACCTTATTAGTGTATTTAATACTGTCATAGCGACTGATTGTCTGAAGTACATTTGACTCCAAAGGCAAATTACCCTGTAGCCATGTCTCCATAACTTAATTGTCATTAAGTTTTGGGCGCTAATCCCCGTTGTTAATCCTCACCAACATTTCATTGTATATTGACTGACAGCCAACCTGGGCTACTTTATCACTTCTCGTTAATTACTGTTATTTATAGTATGACATTTGTTGCCTTAATATGTGCTACCATTACACTGTTACTAGGGTGTGAGACAGGCTTGGTATTCCGAGTGCTGGCATAGGGACGACCTCGAGCAGGATGTGCCGCTCGTAGGAAACGCCCTGAGGTGAGCTGGAGCTCCGCTCACCTCATGTATGCCTGAGCTGGAAGGTCCGCTCGTCGCTGTTTTTGTGTTGTCAGAGCAGGTATTCCGCTCATTGTGCAATTGTTGTTTATTGTTTACATGTTGTGCATAAAGCGTTCCGGGACAGTGATGTCGATTTTGTCTTTTATTCCCCCAAGAGCTAATTCCCCGTCAACATGCGCGATGACAATACCATCAACTTAACCTCAATAGTGCAAGAATACACCTCAAATTCCTCAGACTTATCACAGGATTAAGAAATTCAACTCCTCGTTATATGATATATGGCGAATAAGGTAGGCTACCATTAAGAATAATAATTTGTGAACGAATGATATCTTTATGGCACAAATTAACATATCAAACTGGTGTGTATAAACTTTCACAGCTGTTATATCAATATCTGTCAATTAATGGGAACAAAACTATTGCATCAACAAATCCCTGGGTTAGATGTGTTGTGCATATATTAGACAGTATTGGATTATCTTATGTATTTAACAATCCGTCAATTTGCACAACAAAGTGGCTGGTGTCAGAAGTAGAGCAAATACTTAAAGATCACTTTTTCCAGAAATTGAGAAGTGACGTTAATTCTAGTTCTAAAGGCTTATACAATAAACATTTAAAGGACACTCCGGTTCTCGATAAATATCTTCTATTGCCAAAACGAAAAGCAATTCCAATACTACGATTTCGAACCTGTAATCATAATTTACCTAACGAGACTGGCCGATGGAAAAATATTCCAAAGAAAATAGAACTGGTAAATTATGTAATTCCCCATCTATTGCTGATGAATTTCACTACTTATTCAGATGTAATTATTTTAAAAGAGAGAGGCGAACATTTCTCTCATCATATTATACTGAATGGCCAAATATTAAATTTTTTGTAAAACTCTTATCAACAACAAACACACAGGATCTAAAACATTTATCGAGATTTATTATAAAAATGTCCAGTAGTATTAAAAATGCTAGGTAATCACATGTTGTTATTTTAATTGCCATCTTGTCTGCTTTTTGTACATATGCATAATTATTTATTGTAATATGCTCTTGTACCACCTTTTGTGGTTTCTGAGAATAAACTGATTCTGATTCTGATAGTGGAGTATAAATGACTTCTCAAAACATAGGAGATTTACCTGCTGCGGTAATGGACCAGTCTTCTGTATCATTAAGATCAAATATATAACGACGTTTAAAGTTTATGGGTAAATTAATTGATCTACTCAGATACACTAGGATTATATATTGTTTTATTTTCTACTCGTATAGATTTAACTAATGAGCTATTTGATCACGAAAACAACTTAAATATGTAAGTTCTCACCTCAGCTTCTTTGGAGAATATTGGGTTTTCTCAATTTCCATGTTTTTACTAAATTGTGCATATATTTCAGAGATATCTGAATTTTGTCACAACCATGGTAGGGTGGTAGAAAGTTGATTTTCTTAAATCGTAAAGAGGTAGGTCCCAGGTACATTTTCAACATTACCTTCACAGCAATAACAAGATTAGGGGATTTTCCCAAAATTGCAATACTGACATGCTTTCATCACAAATTGAGTTAAATAAATTATTCTATTTATTTATTTATTTATTATTTGTTTTGGCATAATTATTGTTTAAACAATACCCTTCAGCGAAGTTTACACGATATTAATTGATAAACACAGCGAATAAAAAATAAACTTCAAATGTCATTACCACATAAATCTTAACTTGTTAGAACTAATATGAGAACTTGTTCTGCTGTACGTTGCATTCTGGTTATTTAAAGTTTTCTACTATAGATCTTGATTATATACTCAATACCCAAGGGTTACCTAAGATGAATACGTCGCAAATATTATAATGTACAGATTTCTGACGTTTAGTTTAAATATCAAATACATGTATATAGAAAAATGAAATGTGTTTAAAGCAAAACAAACTTTGAACTAATAACACCCACAATCAATAAGCAGTTAATACAAACACGTATTATCATGGTTTAATATAGTCTGGTGATAGTGTTGAAACACAGATGGGAAAACTGTTTTCATAAACAAGAGAATTTCATGTTTAGTCAGCGACAAGATTTTGCCATTTTCTGTAGAATGACCCGATTATGAGAGTATGTGTTGATTGGGGACGCGTCAGAACGTACACGTACAGAACATTGGGTTGACTCTAGTAATCGGTTCCCAAGTGCTAAATGATGAAGCTTGATGTAGTAATACAATACACCTTGTTGAATTATTTATGTGACTATTAAAGCCCATGAAGCACAGTGAAAGTCTTTTCATATATATTACAAGTCTTAATAATCTCATGAGGTGTCTGATCTGGGACATGATCGGGGCTAATCCATTTTTACCACTTGTGTTACAAGCTTTGGATAGTTGGTGATCTCAACCGTGGTTTTTGTGATTTTAAGGTATCTGACAACTGAGGTTTCTGATAAATGGTATTTTTTCAACGCAGTCAACTTAACATCATTAGAGGCGTTAACACCATAAACTTAACATCACCAGAGTTTTGTAACACCATTAACTTAACATCATTGGAGTTTGTAACACGTCAGCTTAACATTAGAATTTTAACCACCGCAACTTAACATCATTGGGTGTTTTAGCGCTGCAACTTAACATCATTAGAGTTTTTAACACCATCAACTTAACATCAGTTTACAAGATTTCAAACTTCATATTGAGAATGGATGCACAGTACACTACGGGTCCTGTGTGACGCAGGAAGGTATGGCTGATTGAGTCATTAAATATATTTGTAGAATTCGTGTTACCTGCAACTGACCTTTCTATTCTCGTAAGATATACATTTAAAGTTCAGGAGGTTTATTTTATTCATCTAACATTGAAATCCCCATCTCTGATAGGCTTTCTGATCATGAGCACGCTCGGTAACAATAAACACATAAACATATGATAAATTATATGACAATTTTGACATTATAACTAAATGTACAACATGCACATGGCTCATAAAATGTCAGTCTATACATTATACACGGAATATGAATATCCGTATTATTTACAATGTCAGATTGTCATTTTATTATATTTAAAATTTCTATGCACCAGCTTAGGGGTACGGATGATATATAAATAGGTTATCTCCCCAAACCCCTATTATAATGTATTATGAATTTTGAAAAATGAACATTTTATTATAATGTATTATGAATTTTGAATAATATCCTAATCGTCATTAAATATTTATCTCAATCTATTCGAGTTTCTTGGGTTGTTCCATTGTATGAAATAGGTAACAGACTAGGGATTAGCAGTGCCATGGACCGTGAACTTTGTTGTCTTAAGCTGTAGGGGAAATGGGATGTAGGGGTTTTGGGAGGTTACCTATAAATGAATAGATCACATACACAGGGTTGGTAAATATATAGGTGAGCGTTAACCCTTTTATCGCAAGATGCAGTACAGTAACGGTACAATTAATGTCGACAGTGTTATCTGGAAGCTCTTCTGCAGAAAATTAACGTGTAATGAATAATATACGAATCACACTGTAGTGTCTTGGGTTGTTTCTATGCCAATGCCCCGTGAGCTGTTAGGAATGAATACTTACCTGGCTCTGTTGTATTGTATGACTACTCCATGATTTCTGCATGATTACATAGCCACACATAGCAAACACCATCAAGATAATTGACACGATCACAAGTTTTGTCAGTCGCCACATTTCAGAAACTGGACTATCCTTTCCGTCAGCGACAGCGACACCAAGATTGTGTGTGACCCGTGGAGGCGTGTTTGTTTCTGTCCGGGACGATTGTGCTCACCTGGTATATACGCGGGTGTACTAACCGTCCGGCGGCTGTGTTCCTTGTGCGTGTTTATGGCTGCGCTAACAATCTGACAATAGTGAAACTAGACATATTCAATTTACATGTTTAATGGCGAAAATGTTTTGGGCTAAGCTCGTTCGAGGTCAAAACAAAACAATGGGTTTTACATTGCAACGTGGCCGACAGGTCCCGCTGGGAACGCATGTTCATACACAAAACGACAATAAAGCTTACCGAGGCCATTTTGATATATATTTATCATGTAGTTATTGTCGGATCGATGCGATATTTACGGATACTACAACTGCTACTACTACTACTACTACTACTACTACTACTACTAATTAGAATAATAGATCCCACCACCCTCGCTCTTCCCCCAAATAGGAGGGCGTGGTTTGATTAACTTGGATGCTCTTCATGATAGAATTGTATTGTGCAATTTTGGACACATTTATTCATCTGATGATCTTCTTGTGAAGCATGTCAAGACTCCTGATAAAAACAAGGCATTCCACAATTTTATTAAACGAGCCAAAGATGTGGGACATAATCTCTATGTCAGTGTCGATTTTGTGTTGACGGTACAGAAAGGAGTGTCAAACAAGCGAAGTGCCATATCAAATCGGCCTAGTTATTCAAGGAGAGGCTATCTGAATGACCACTGCATCGAGTTTATGTGCTGTGTGTTGAGAAGATCAGCAGACCTGCAGAGTCCTTTGTTTGGATGAAGTCAGTTGGCGTGAAAAGTGAAACAGAAGGCTTTTTGTTTGCTGCTCAGGACCAGTCACTTCCTACTCGAAACCGCCAATGTGTGATTTTACAGCAAAATGTAAATTTGAAATGTAGAAAAGGCAATGAATTTAATGAGACTGTCCAAAACATTGTTAGTGGATGCTCAGCTTTGGCACAAACACAGTATCTTAAGCGACATGATGGAGTGGTTCGATTCTTTTATTACCGTCTTCGCAATGCTTGTGGTTTTGACACAGAGGTCCATCCATGGTACGACACGGAATATGTAGAGGGTGTCATGGAACATGATAAAAAACAAATTCTTTGGAATATGCCCATATACAGCCTCAGAACTCTCCTGGCCAACAAACTTTAACTTGTCCTTTTTGATAAATCCAATGAAATCATTTATACCATTGCATTTTCTGTCCCTTTTGACACTAATGTGATTGATAAGATTGAGACAACATGGCAAATATGCGGACCTTGCTTTCGAAAAGTCATGCTTGCATCCTAAGTACCAAGTTGTCCGACTCCCCATTGTTCTCGGTGCCTTAGGTTTGGTACCTCCCAATCTGTTGAGTGACATTGGGAGAGAACCCGGGTTTGCTACCAAGAATACAGCCCTTCTGACAATCTGGGTAATGCATAAGGCTGCAGTGTTGGGGAGTCTTCACATTCTCCGAAAAGTAATGAGTGGGTTTGACTAGGCAGCGTTTCCTGGGATAAGTCCCATTCGCTGTCTGGGCTGCATGTAGAGGGGGCAAGCGCCCTGGGCTGATGATGAGCCCAACCAGCCTGACTGTACCAGGATCACCTAAACCCTCTTTGCTGCATTTTTTATTTTAATCTGTACATAATAATAATCATTATTATTATTATTTATATAGCACCAAATATCCTGCGCTTACCTGGTCAGTGGTGCTTGTTCTTATCTATGTATAGTGCTGATAAAATACAGACACGTAGCCAATATAGTTACAGTGATATGCACACAAAAAATAATAAAATTTAAGTGCACAATCTTCAGTAGCTCCATGACTATCTTGCTTGGAGATAGCGTTTCGCCCTGAACGCGCAAATCAACCAGCAAGAAGCCAAATGTTTGCAATTAGGATGAGCCGATTAAAAAGTAATTTGTTTGGTTGTAAGTTGTTTAACGCCGCGCTCAGCAATATGCCAGCTAATATGACGACATTCTGTAAATAATCAAGCTTGGACCATACAATCCAGTGAATGACACCATGAGCATCGATCTACGCAAAGGGGGTACGATGACATCCTTCCGCCAAGTCAGCTAGCCTGACCGCCCGATCCCGATGGATCTATCCCCAACTTATCCCCTTAATCCTCCCGAATTTCAGTTGTAAACTAACTGGTAATTTATAAGACCCCGTCTCACATACAGTCACTCATCGCACAGCAACATGCTACTGCAGTAGTTATTGCATAATGTCTGCAAGATTCCGGGGTAGAATAGGTCTTCAGCAACCCATGCTTGCCGTAAAAGGCGACTTTGCGTGTCGTAAAAGGCGACTAACGGGATCGGGTGGTCAGGCTTTCTGACTTGGTTGATGCTTGTCATCGATCCCAATTACGTGGATCGATGCTCATGATGTCAATCACTGGATTGTCTGGTTCAGACTCGATTATTTACAGACCGCCGTCATATAGCTGTAATATTGCTGAGTGCGGCGTTAAACAACAAACAAACCAAACCAAACCACAGGTAGGGGTTCACTTGTACTTCTTTCGAAATCACCAATTCAAAAACTCAAAAACTAATGTCATCCGGTGTGTGTGTGTGTGTGTGTGTGTGTGTGTGTGGCTGCTTGTACTAGTCCGGACTGATGCCGATTTATAGTGCTAGCACACTGAGATACCATGCCGCAGTTTAACATGAATACCCCAATCCGACTACCGACTCCGAGCCGACCAGTCCTTGTTTTAGCCCCTTAATGCCGAGCGCCAGACAGGGTAACAACAAGTACCATCTTTTAACGTCTTTTGGTATGACGCGGCTGGGGATCGAACCCCGGACCTTCCGGAACTTGTAATGAAACACTGACGCCTTTGTGGCATGACCCTGACAAATGTGTCTCTCTGAAGTAGTTGTCTTTGGTTTGCTCTCACTATCAACCACCGGTTTCGTTTATTGAGATTAAACCACTGCCATTATTTTCACTGTTTTATAAAGTACGATGGGGGGGGGGGGGGGGGGGGGGGAAGAAATTAATCAACATCACCATCTTTACTATTCTCTATTTATGTTAACATACATGTACTGTTGAAACTATTCCCCTGAATAACGTTGTGCTTAGTTTAGATAAGGAAACACTTACATGTTTTTTAATCTGTAACTTACACCATTTGTATATAATGCTTATAGGGATCCCAGACAACTATGTACATTATAAGGTGCTCAGAAACGAACAATCCTTTCACGACAATTACTTGAAACACTAAGAGAAGAGTATTTATTGAACACTGCGTTTAATATTGGATGGATAAAATAGTATTCAAATGTACGTGTACACTAAATAATATTTATAGAATGTAGGTGCTGGTGTAACATTAGTGCAGTTACAAGAAACCGAAAGTAAAGAGTTATTACTGAGTATTAATTTTATACTTTTGTTCAATTAGGGATGAGTACAATAATCACCCGTACTGAATATATTTGTTTGATTGATTGAATGTTTAAAGCCGCACTCCAATATTCAAGCTAATTGACAGAGCTGTAATTAATCGATTCTGTACCAAACAATCCAGTGATACGATACGAATGTGAATAATTTCACTATTATCTTATCTCGTTCAATGTTTGTCTTCTGCATCTGTCGGTAACGACCTGCAAATGTATGGAAGCCAAGAACGGACATTGGCGCTTTGCTGCATTTCTGCGTTGTCTCCTTTACAAACACAAGTAAACCGTGTCAAAATTCATATAGCGCGAAAAGGCAACGATGCGACAAATTATCAAAATGTCGCGTTGGTGCATTGTCGCGCTTTGAGAAATTTTGATAGTTTTTTGCTTGTTTGGGTAATTTGGCAACTCTACAATGCCCATTCTAACATTCCATACACAAGTGTACAGACAAGGTAAGATAAGATATATATGTTACACTGGAATTATTACAAAATATAATAAACCGTTCGGCCTGCACTCAACGCGTTAAAGTAGCAATAGATATTAAAACTAGTGGTTTAAAATATTTGCAGATACCTATGGAATACTGTAAGGGACATTCTCGCGATCTCGCATTCTCGCGATCTCGACCATGGAAACGAGGTTAATATGCCCAAAACACGAGAATGCGAGATCGCGAGAACGCGAGATTTGGCCAAAATCTCGCATTCTCGCGATCTCGCATTCTCGTGTTTTTGGCAGTATTCCATAGATACCAACATATCACAAACATATCCCATCAACCTTATAAATGTAATTCAACTAAGATTATTTAGAGTCTCATAACCAATGAGAGGGATGACATTTCCTCCGCTTAAAACCTCGGCAAGGACTAAAGTTAACAAAACTGTCAGCAGTTATTTTCATAACGGTAAATATTGCTATTGCAACTGAGGCCTGACAGTTATATTAGGGCGGCCTTAATTTACAACGGAGATAACAGGCAGATAGATCTATGGGCGACTGCATACTTCAATTGATGTGTCATAATTGGTCGGCTGTGCTGGTTGGGCCCAATCATCCTTATAAAAATCCCCATAATGAACACAAGTAAGCTTGAATAAAATCTCGCGTTCTCGCGATCTCGCATTCTCGTGTTTTTGGCAGTATTCCATAGATACCAACATATCATGCTGGTTGGGCCCAAACATCCTTATAAAAATCCCCATAATGAACACAAGTAAGCTTGAATAAAATCTCGCGTTCTCGCGATCTCGCATTCTCGTGTTTTTGGCAGTATTCCATAGATACCAACATATCACAAACATATCCCATCAACCTTATAAATGTAATTCAACTAAGATTATTTAGAGTCTCATAACCAATGAGAGGTATGACATTTCCTCCGCTTAAAACCTCGGCAAGGACTAAAGTTAACAAAACTGTCAGCAGTTATTTTCATAACGGTAAATATTGCTATTGCAACTGAGGCCTGACAGTTATATTAGGGCGGCCTTAATTTACAACGGAGATAACAGGCAGATAGATCTATGGGCGACTGCATACTTCAATTGATGTGTCATAATTGGTCGGCTGTGCTGGTTGGGCCCAAACATCCTTATAAAAATCCCCATAATGAACACAAGTAAG